TACTCTCAAAATCATTCCTTGGCTCTACACTAAGAAATAACATTTGAACTGAAACTAATTTCCCAACAAAACCAATTTCTCAAAACACTTTGGAAATACTGATTTTAGTTGGTATTATATTAGAATACAATTAGGGAAATGTTTTTAATAGTTTGTCAAACTCCCTCCAGCAAGGATATTCTGCATTTAACAGGTAAATTCAGAGAGAATGAAGTAATCATTAGAATATGCTTTCCACTTACCTAATAAATATTTTGTCCAACTCCCCTCTCAAAAAATTTCCAATCTAACCATCCTCAGTATCTCCAGATCACTCTAGTACAAGCTACTGTCATTTCTTACTGGAACTTTGTCACACTCTTTAACTGATCTTCCTGCTTTCACTCGTGTCCTTTCAGTCTATTCCAAAGATCAGATCCCACAAGGGAAACACAGTAGCACTATTAAGTACCATGCCAACAGTTATTGAACTTTATGACTGATCCAAACAAGGGGTGTAGGGGGATGTGTGCCTGAGATTATGAATAACAATCATTGATAAAAGCTCTGTGTACAAACACCTCATTTATACAATCATGCTCTGGATAATGGCATTTTAGTCAACAACTGACCACATATACAAGGGTGGTCCCGTTAGGATTATAATGGATCTGAAAAATTCTTATCACCTGGTGACACAGCCATCATAACAACATAGCACAACACATTATTCATTTGTTCGTGGTGATACTGGTATAAACAAACGTACTGCACTGCCAGTCATAAAAAAAGTACAGTACATAAAATTATGTACCATACATAATACTTGATAATAATAAACTATGTTACTGGTTTATATATTTACTATACTTTAGTTATTTTAGAATATATTCCTGATACTTTTTTTAAAAAGCTAATCGTAAAATAGCCCCAGGCAGGTCCTTCAGGAGGTATTCCAGAAGAAAGTACCGTTATAGGAGATGACAGCTCCATGTAATTTGCTGCCCCTGAAGACCTTCCAATGGGACAAGATGTGGAGATGAAGACAGTGATATTGATGATCCTGACCTCTGTGCAGGTCTGGGCTAATGTGTGTTTGTGACTCTGTCTCAAAAAAAAAAAAAAAAACTGAGTCTCACTCTGTTGTCCCGGCTAGAGTGCCGTGGCATCAGCCTAGCTCACAGCAACCTCAAACTCCTGGGCTCAAGTGATCCTCCTGCCTCAG